TTTTTTTTTTGTCATTACATACAGTATATGACACATATAGAAGATGAGGGTTCTGGCACAGCACTGATCAAGGAGGAAGAGAACGGGCAAAATAAGCCTCCCAGCTTAACTTCCCGATACTTGTGAGGGAAGTTAAGCTGGGAGGCTTATTTTGCCCGTTCTCATCCCTTGATCAGTGCTGTGTCCAGAACCCTCATCTTCTATGTGTGTGTGTACGCAAACAGTACAGCAGTAAAATTGGGCGAAAAAGCGGGTCCAGCGAAGCAGCAATGTCCGCAACGTCTGTAATCAATATGCGCGGATGTGCCACCTTGACTAGTATATACAAAAATGTGTCAGAATTTTTTTCCTATTGAAGAAGTGTATGAACAGTGTATACGCCGACATGGCTGCCGCAAGATATTCGTCCGACGTTAAACTTTCCGAGGCAATTCAAAACCTCCCTCCAGAGCTTCGTGAGACGATTCACAAGGAGTACATCGCGATAAAAATTAAGGAAAAAAACGAAATGGGGTGGGACAAGTTACACGAGAATATTTTAAAACTATCATTCTGCGAAGTCAATCAGCAAATTGTGCGAACGGTAATTTGTGTTGAATATCCGGACTGCCATTTCGAGGGTTGTTGCTTCCCATGTTTAGAAAGGGATGGAACTATTCATAAACCCTCGGTAAGGCCGGCGAAGGAGCCAAAACTTTTCATAGAAGAAGACCTCGATTACGTGAATTTTTTAGAAATATGCTCCTGGAACGGTTACGATTGGCACGAGTGGTTCCATTTTGGCGAGTGGCGTTAGCGAAAAAAGGCGGCGAAGATATAACCTACGTTCGAAGCAAAAGTTTTGTTTTGAAATCTGCGAGTTGCGTGACATTTTTCTCAGATAGACTGGAACCAAATATTCCCCAGACCCTTGGCCGAGCAGTGCTGAAAAACATGGAGGACAACTGAAGATTTTTTTGTTTGGGCCGAAAATAACAAACCAGAACAGAATTTAACAAAAAACTACGCTCAGTCAACGCGCTGTAAGTTATTTTTTCACCACAGAAGCTACCGAAGTGAAGCGAGCAGGAGAAAATAGCAAGATTTGATCGCAGCGTTCGATCGCTCGTAACATGTGTTATTCCTTGAACAAGGGCCTCAATCGAGCCCGTTTAAGTTTCCTCTGCTTCTCGCATGGCTTCAACGACTTGATATGTTATCTGTCTGACCTCTTTCTGCCAAACGGGTGTAGAAAGTTCCATGAAAATAAAGCAAATAGCGTGGAAAAGCACAATCATTTTGGCCTTCAGAAGTACTGTTGTGATTTAATTTATTCATCCAAAGTAGTATATAGGGGATTAACCAAATACCATTTCGCAGAGGGAGAAGTATTTTCTCATTTTGAAACCCCCCGCTTTAAGTCCGAAGCTCGCAAGCTCGCTTCGGTTAAACCAGGGGGTTTCAAAACGGGAAATACTTCTCCCTCTTTGAAATAGTATTTGGTTAATCCCCTATATACTACTTACAACTTAAGGGAAGGGGGAGAGACACACCAATTGGAAACAAGCGAGCCCGCTGTTATACCGCCCGAGCCGCGATGTCTCGAGCGACAAACAAGTGCGCGTGGCTGATGCGGGACCGGAAAGAAAGCTGCGGANATGTTATCTGTCTGACCTCTTTCTGCCAAACGGGTGTAGAAAGTTCCGTGAAAATGAAGCAAATAGCGTGAAACAGCACAATCATTTTGGCCTTCAGAAGTGCTGTTGGGATATAATTTATTCATACAATCTCTAAATATGGCTCAAGCATGACATCATCTCGCCGCCCAAAAGCGCATGCGTGTGTGTGAAAACCTGCGAAATTTAGGCAAAGGACAGAGAAGCAACACCACAAGTGACAGGAGAGGCGACTGGATCAATGTATATAGCTTGAGTAATTTTACTGTTTATCAGCGAGCAAATGATGGTGCTTTTGGATGTGAGGGTGGCCACCTCTGATTCCTAATACGGCACGTACAGGAACTTGTCAGGGGTTATGGGGTGAGACCGTCCACGGTGACAACCCCGAGTGAACCCGCCCCGGCCCAGTGGAGACTGGGTGGTGCTCAGAGGACCCTCGGGACCTCAAACCTCGTCCGGAGGTAAAACGGGACAGCCGCCGCCTTGTCAGCGGCGCGAAAAAGTCCTAGCCCGTGGCTAGGCAAAAGAACAGCTAACGAGCACCCCCCGACAGGATTTTTGCCCTTTTGTGTGGCCTGTCACGCAACGTCACGCGTGACAGTAACGTAACCCAATCACGCAACGTCACGCGTGAAGGTAACGCGGTGTAACACAATCATCTGTTTTTAACAAGACTAAGAGATAGTTTCGTGTTTTTTGCTCAAGATTTAGTTCAAATCTGCTGTTTAATCCGCAAGATTTTTTTTTGTATATTCTTCCCGAACCTGTTCCCGAACCTGGTCCCGAACCTGGTTTCTTATTTTTTCAATATCTGGCTGGATTGGATTTCATTGTATTTGCGCAAAGTTTGAGGGTAAAGTCTCTTTAAGCTGGCGATATTTCTGGATTTCACGTGTGATCAGTTGAAACGCCGTGTCAGAAACGGGATTATCGTTCAGAGCTTGCGAGACGGCGAGGTTTATCGAGTCATGTTTCCCGATAGCCAGAGAATGGATTCTCGAGTGTTTATTAACCTTGCGTTCAAGCTTCTTGTTGACAACGGACAGGCCAGTGGAAACCGCGCCAGATAAAGCTGCTGTCCCGGCAACAGGCGCGCCGACAACAATTCCAACACCAGTGAGTGATGTTGCAACAGCGCAGAAGAGAGAACTGCCGTGACGGCGGCAAGGCCAACCAGGGAATAGTGCAGCGCTTTCCGGGCTTTTTTGTATTTTTTCAACACAAGTCTGTAATGCTCGACCTCAGCAGATATTTCTTTTTCAATTCTACTTATTTCAGTTAGCCGGAAATTCTCGGCATTTGTCGTTTCGGGAAGACTTGGATCGAGTCTTCTTTCATTCTCGGCAGGCGGTGCGCTTGGAGGCAACAGATTCGCCGAAGACATTGCGTATATATAGAAATTTAATTTAACTCTAATTCAAAAAGAAGAGGGAAGCCTTTGAAATCAAAGGGTTCGCTATTTTCATCTTTGACGCTAATAGTGATGCTATTTATGAACTCGTCCGTGGAGCAGTCTCGCAAAACCTGTTGCGGAGNTTCTTTTTCAATTTTACTTATCTCAGTTAGCCGGAAATTCTCGGCATTTGTCGTTTCGGGAAGGCTTGGACAGATTCTTTTTTTCATTCTCGGCAGGCGGCGCGCTTGGAGGTAATAAATTTGCTGAAGGCACTGCGTATATAAAGAAATTTAATTTAACTCTAATTCAAAAAGAAGCGGGAAACCCTTGAAATCAAAGAGTTCGCCATTTTCATCTTTGACGCTAATGGTGATGCTTTTTATAAACTCTCTGTAGAGCAGTCTCGCAAAACCTGTTGCGGAGAACCCTGGTAGCTCACCTTTTCATAAGGCTTCCCTTTCACATCAAACAGGGCTAAAACATTTGACCTTTTGCTATTGAACAGATTCTTTTCTGTGTCGATCAAATCACAATGAATGAAATATGTCGTTGGAGATCTAAGCCGTTTTACGAATGTTATA